CGCCGAATATGTAGGAAAATGTTTAATACTTCTCTGTTGTAGAAAAGTTTTCAGATCTTTGTTGAAAAATTCTGATCCCCTATCTGTTGTTATGTACAGTGGACATCTGTTACAGTTATTTATTATTGATTCAAAAGCTGCAGTCACCACCTTACCGGTTTTATTTTTTAAAGGTACACACCATGCGTATTTAGTATATACATCTATCACAGTAAGAATAAAAGTAAAGTTTTTATTCTTGTTGCAATACTTTCTCATATCGACGAGATCCGCTTGCCACATGTTGTCTTTAGCGTAAGGCGTTACGATACGTCTCGGAAATTTCTTTCTTGCTTGTGCGTGTATCTCCTCCGCTATTTGCTCTTTAACAGTTTTCATTTTATTACTCCGTTTTCTCTAAGTTCTTCTTCCAATGATATTATTTCGTTATACACTCCCGTATTACCGGCACGCTTAGACGCGTGTAAAATAGCCAGACGCTGTACTAATTCATTTATATCGTCCCAATATATGTATTCTTTTCGTTTATTTGATACAGATAAAAACGGTAGTCCGCCACCAAACTTTTCGTTTTCGCTTGGTTGCCGCCCGTTAAATAACTGTTTTATTATATTTTTATATTTATATCCTTGATTTGTTTTCAATTTGCCGTTAATATTTCTATGTACTCTAGTGTGTATGAGACAGTTTTTATACGTTATCATATCCTCAGAAGTGATTAAATCGACGTTAGGTATCTTTTTAANTTGAGACAGTTTTTATACGTGACACGGTACCGTGTTTCCCTCAGCCGCACATCACGTTATCAACCTAAATGAAAGTGTATCGGGATCTGAATCATAAGTGCACGGTGGCCTAGTGGTAAGGTTTGTCTATACGACGCCTTGGGTCGCGGGTTCTAATCCCGTACCGTGCCTCTTTTTTTCACATGATTTCCGGTACACTTTCTATAACCGGCCGTCAATCCCCGGCGGCCGTGTTATANATTTCTTTCTTGCTTGTGCGTGTATCTCCTCCGCTATTTGCTCTTTAACAGTTTTCATTTTATTACTCCGTTTTCTCTAAGTTCTTCTTCCAATGATATTATTTCGTTATACACTCCCGTATTACCGGCACGCTTAGACGCGTGTAAAATAGCCAGACGCTGTACTAATTCATTTATATCGTCCCAATATATGTATTCTTTTCGTTTATTTGATACAGATAAAAACGGTAGTCCGCCACCAAACTTTTCGTTTTCGCTTGGTTGCCGCCCGTTAAATAACTGTTTTATTATATTTTTATATTTATATCCTTGATTTGTTTTCAATTTGCCGTTAATATTTCTATGTACTCTAGTGTGTATGAGACAGTTTTTATACGTTATCATATCCTCAGAAGTGATTAAATCGACGTTAGGTATCTTTTTAAATAACAATTCGTGTAATCCTTTTGTCAATGCCACTTGTTTTAGACTACCGATCTTGATATTACCCATATGTTCATCAATAATTACCATTTTATCACCCATTTTAAAGTCTCCGTCATCATTAACGGTTACACCGTACACCGCATCAAAGTTTGATTGTTGTTGTAACGGTTTAGACAACACGATCGTTTTATTTTTATCAATTTTATCGTATTCCTCGCCATCATTTTCTTCTGCATCGTTTGATTTACGGTTTTCAAATAAGTTTTTTGTTTGTCGTGCAATTTCTTCCAGAGGTTCAACGATAGGTGTCGCATGCTTGCGAACAAACTCTCTAGTTTCCTCAACACCACGTTTGAGTTCCAGTAATTTTTTCCTAATACTTTTTTTAGCTTTTATAATACTTGATGTTATATTCTCCTCCGACTCCATTTTGTATTAATAATCAAGTGTCTAAAAATCAGCTCTTTTTATATAAATATCGAAACTTTTGCGATACCTTCCCTCGTTTAAAGGAAAATCTTTCGCTATCAACAAAAATTCAAATCTACCAGAGTTCCAGCATTTAGCACACATTTCTTTAAATTCTATAAAACTCATATCTGACGAACAATGATCATCATATATGTGTTTTAAATTAGTTTCGTCTTGTTTGTATAAAATAATCATATTCGTGTTGTCTCTGATGAGTTGTTTTGGTATACGAGAATACGTCTGTGATAAGTAAAATATATCGATACCGTTGTGTCTACCTCTACAAAAATACGATGCTATGTTGTTTTGTTTTTCACATACGACGTCATCAAATATAAATATAGAATTAGATGTTACCTTTTCCGGTGCTAATACTTGATCGTTATCGGTGTAAACGTATATGTTTACTCCTTCTACGTCGTTAATAATATTCTCTAAGATTTTATATTTACGTTGATCCGGAGTTTTTGTATAGAGGTATATGTTTTCAAATTTTAAACCGTTTTCTTCTGTCAGTAAATTAAACATTACGTTTGTTTTACCGCAATTAGACGGTCCACAAATTATACAACGTATACTATCGGGTAGCAAAGGACCGTGTTTCATTCGTTTTGACACAGATTTATCCAAATCGACGTTAGAAACTGGTAACTTACATGTTTGCGCTTCGAAAAACATTACGTATAAAAGATTGATGTAACAATTACACCGTTTTAAACGATGATTCGACGTCGACGATCTAACATTAATAAACGCGGAAACGGTTTAGTTAATTCTCTTATAAATAATCTTCCCGTAGAAGTTCATTGGCCAACGTATCAATATCTAGGACCCGGCACGCGGTTAGAAAAGCGATTGGCTCGTGGTGACCCTGGTAAAAATCCGCTGGATGCAGCAGCACGAGAACACGATATAGCATATAGTAAATATAAAGACATTAAGAATCGTCATAAAGCCGATTACGTTTTACAAAATCGAGCTTGGGAACGTGTTAAAGCAAAAGATAGTACGTTCGGAGAAAAAGTAGCGGCTTACGCAACTACCAATATCATGAAAGCGAAACGCAAACTCGGGATGGGAATAAATTTTAACTCGATCGTTAGTTCGAGTCGAAAGGCGATGCGAAAAATGAAAGGTAAAAGTGCGAAGAAAGCAAGTATAATTGCACTCGCAGCGGCTAAAAAAACATTTAAAAACTCTGTTCGAAAACCTAGTGCTCCTCGTACTATAAAAATACCGAAATTTGGTGGAGTGCTTCCCTTGATTCCTATTTTCGCAGGTCTTTCTGCTCTAGGCTCGTTGGCAGGTGGTACCGCTAATATAATCAAAGCGGTAAATGAAGTAAGAAAAAATAAGGATTCAAAAAGTCCAGTTAAAATCGGTGGAGGTATGCTCGCAAAAAGAGGATCATCATTATATTTGAAACCATTTCAAAAAAACTAAATCATATGCTACCCAGTGATCGCCCGCTAAACAGCGATGATATTATAAAATATGCAAGACTATTAAAACTATCTCATTTTCGTAATATTTTTTCACGAGATAAGTTACCTAAAACACCACGAACGATTGAATGTGCTGTCGTGAATTTGGATGATGATACGGGTGAAGGCACGCACTGGGTAGCATATTATAAAAAAAATAAAACCGTTTTTTATTTCGATTCGTTTGGTAACTTACCACCGCCTTTAGAATTACGCTCCTATTTAAAAGGATGTAGTATAAAATTTAATTACACTCGTGTTCAAGAATTCAATACGTTCGTGTGTGGACAATTGTGTTTGAAATTTTTACTGGAACGATGCAACGCTCTTTAACGTTATCTTTTCAAGGTAACCAGTCTAGAATGATCAGTACCTTTTTCCCACCTATTGAATTAGATGGAACTGCAGAATTAGCACTTTTGAGTTTACAAGCTTGCAACTCTAAACCAAATGTTAGTGAAAAAAATAATTCTTTTCGTGTTTTAACCTATAACGATTACCTTGAAAGTTCAACGTCTGTTAATAATTCCGTTATTGATTTATCAATACCAATAGGATCGTACGAGTTAGATGATATAGGTAAATATCTCTCGGATGAATTGAAAAAACATAATATTATTTTTAACTTGAAATCCAATGTGAATACATTGAAATCCGAAATGTTTTGCGATAAAACAGTAGATTTCACAGCAAACAATAGCATAGGAGAGTTGTTGGGATTCAATAAAAAAACGTTTGAAGGCGGTGTCATACATGAATCAGAACAAATGGCTAATATTAATCCACTATCGTGTATAAGAATAGAGTGTGATATTGTACATGGAGCATTTGTTAACGGACGCGAGACGTGTTCTATTCACGAGTTTTATCCCTTGGTGTCACCCGGTTATAAGATTGTAGAATCACCTAATAATCTTATATATTATTCCGTGTTGACCAATCAAATAGATAACGTAAAAATTGAAATTAAAGATCAGAACGGAGAGCTTGTCGATTTCAGAGGAGAAAGTGTAACGGTTCGTGTTCATATTCGATATGGGTATACAATATAACGTTAAAAAGAGACGTTTTCATGAAGTTGAGAACAGTTCAATTTCAAAACTTCCAGAGTTAACAAGGGAGAGCTTGACTACACTTTTAAATCTTGGTTATACACTTGAAAATCGCAATGGAAGATATTCTGAACATTCACGAAAAACCGTACTTCGAAGAAAGTATAACAAAATTTGAATACCATTCGTATCAACCATTTTCTAGTAACGCGCTGTCGAATAACGATGAAATACGAATTGCGATACAACATCAAGATTTATATACTCTCCCCAGCGAATCTTTGTTACACATCGAAGGTGAAGTTGAAAGAAATATAGAAACAGGTAATGGAGAAGCTTCTGTAAAATTAATAAACAATGGCATTATGTTCCTATTTGACGAAATTCGTTACGAATTAAACTCTGTTGAAATTGATAAAGTAAGAAATCCCGGTATTACAACATGTATGAAAGGTTATGCGTCTTTTCAAACGGCAAACCTTTACCGATATCAAAATGCCGGATGGAATGAAAGTGGTGAATCTAGAGAAAAATTCGAAGTGTGCATACCTCTCAAAGTAATTATGGGATTTGCGGAAGATCATCGTAAAATAATAATAAATTCCCGACAAGAATTAATACTGCATAGATCCAGCGTGGACATTAACGCATTAAAGTGTGAGCGAGCGAATGGTAAAATAAAAATTTCGAAAATAATGTGGAGAATGCCTCATATAAACGTAGAGGACAGTGTAAGATTGAAACTGTTAAAGACTTTAGATTCTCGTAAACCACTTTACATCGCTTTTAGAAGTTGGGAATTATTTGAACATCCATATTTACCACAAACTACAAAACATTCGTGGGCCGTTAAAACATCAACGCATACGGAAAAACCTAGATATGTGATTATAGGATTTCAAACTAAACGTAAAAACAAAATAACAGCTGACATGAGTAGATTCGATCATTGTTCTCTAATATCACTCAAAGTATTTTTGAATTCGGAATCATATCCTTACGATAGTTTAAACATTGATTTCGATAATGATAAATATTCAGCATTATATCAAATGTATTCATCGTTTCAAGATAGCTTTTATAATATAGATAACGGTGATCCTATTTTGACTAAAGAAGAATTTAAAGATAACGCTCCTATAGTTGTTATCGATTGTTCTAAACAAAATGAAAAAATTAAGAGCGCTCCCGTTGACGTTCGAATTGAATTCGAAACTAAAATTCCTATACCAAACGATACATCAGCATATTGTCTTATACTACATGATAAGATTTTCGAGTATAACGCTATGACTAGCGAAGTACACAAGGTGGTTTAATTTATGAAATAAAAAATTAATATAAGTATAATATTTTTTTAATTTAAAACAATTACTATTGTACATAATTAGTTATAATTTTTAGTTATTTATGTTTTACATTTAATGATTAAACTTAAATTTATTTACAATATTATACATTATTAATATCTTTATAAATTTATTTATTACTATTGTTATTGAAATAGTTATTTAACTTTTTTTTTTTCCAATGTTTTTGTTCATATTCTTTGAATACAGCTAGTGATAATTCATCTGTCTCTCGAGCACATTCTTCGTCGTCAAATTCATTATTCCAACTCCTAACGTCTTCTGAAACACGATAATAATTTTATTACTATTTAAAACAGATTTATAATTTTTTTTTACTTACTTATCATTTCTTGGTAATCTGATGTCTTTACATCATCAACCCACGTTCCCTGTGTTATTAGGTCCAATAAATCTTCTTCCGTATCAAAATTCAACCATGGATGTGCTCCGAGATAAAGACAATTTTCATTAACTGATTCATTATTTAACTGATTCTATTATTATAATAAAAACATGAAAATTTTTTAAATATATATAAAATATTAAACACATACCGTTTCATTTAACCAAGTTTGATGTTGGCCCGCATCGATCATCGAATATGATGCAGGATTTTCTATTTCATTAACTATATTTAAATAATAATCATCCATATTCCAAAAATCTGGTAATAATTCTTGAGACTGCGAAAATATATATATTTTATTATAATCGCATAAATAAAATTATTTTTAAATTACTTACCATTGTTTGGGAAAGCGGTTCAATTTTCATCTCGTTTATTATATCTGCGAATTCTTCTTCGCTAAGTAGTGGAGACAGCGGTTCACTTCTCATATTATTTAGAATTTGTAAAAATTCTTCGTTGTTAATACTTTGTGATGACATGTTGGTTATAACGCTTTTGATCGAATGACTGTGGTGATCACACATACTCTTATACAATCTTACAGTAGAATTTCAAAATGATGAATTAGCATTTCTTTTGACACTGCGATTGGTTTAAAATTGGTTGACGTTTTAAAAATAATTGCTGGAATAGGTACTGTGAGATATATATCAGTTTTTAAATTTACTTCGTTATATTTTTGTCTTAAAATTTGCTGATTATGTGTTATTTAAATGCTAACTGTTTAAATCATAAAATAACCAACTTGCGTATTATATATACATGCATTTAAAATATTATTTCAGCATTTTGTCTTATCTAGCAGCATTTAAATTTTTTTCTTTTTAAGTGATATGTAATCATAGAAACGATGACTGGAGTTATAGAAATATGAATTAAATTTATCGTATCTGCTTTTGTGAGAAATTAAATTTTCTTGATAATATACTCATAAAGTATGCAGTTATAACTNATCTTGATAATATACTCATCAAGTATGCAGTTATAACTATAAATTACATATTTTATTTTCATAAAGTATTTAATAATGTGTGTTTAATATCATAATAAAGAATGAGACGTTATACAATAGTTATATATTCTTATCTCACAAATTTGTTGATTGTATATATTATTTTGATAGAAAATTTTTTTAATCAATTATCAAACAGTTAGTATATATAATAATTTTTATTTTAATTAAAAAATGTTTTACAATACAATTATATCATTTCAAAATTGTTTACAATTATTGTTAATAATATTTTTTTATTTTGTTAACCAAATAAATCGTTACAATTTTCCCATATTTGAATTTGATCATTAAATGGATTAGATAAATCATTATTTATACGGTGAACATTATCATCTTGTACATTTTCGTTGTGATTTTCCAAATGATCTTGTTGGTCATCGTTTTTACTAAAAATTTTAATTTTATTTAGTATTTTTAGCATAAACAATTTAGTGAAATATCTACCTTATATTTTCATTTGTCATCTGCTTAACATCCTGATTGGTTTGATGTTTGAAATCCTCAATGAATTGTTCCCATATACGTTTAATGATACATTTATAATCGAAGGTAACTATTTCTTTGTACAGTGCTGTTGATGTCTTTGGCAATAACGATATATCCATACTTTTCACGATGGAATACATTAAATTTTCGGGTAATACTAAAAACTTGTTTATAACCAAATCCTTTACTTTTTCGTAAACTTCTTTACTTTGCATGTACAATAAGTTACATGTTTCATATTTCTCTTTGGTTACTTCCAGGAGACATGACTTNTGTTTCGTATTTCTCTTTGGTTACTTCCAGGAGACATGACTTCATTTATTTCAACGCAAATAGATTTTCTTCGGTCAATGATATACGCCCCATTTTTTCTTCTTCACTACCTTTACCCGATATTGATAGATAACTTTTTGAGAAACATTTCGATTTTACAATGTTAAAAACGGAATTCAAATAAATTTTTGATTTACACGATTCATCCATAAATGAAATAACTTCATCGATTAATTGTAAAAAATTAATAAATTTATCGACATCCATCCATAAATACATACTTGGAGATAATATTATCATTACGGGAGAGTATCGGTCGTTTATCCACGTGCAACCGATGTGTATAAATTTTCTCTCTGCAAAACTTAAGTTGAATACAGAAGTTCCTAGCACAGCAAAGTCGGGTTGAGATGGATATCGCATAGTCATTTTAACATCTTTCACTCCTGCAGCCATTTTCATCATGTTCATAATAATACTACACTATTTACTTAACTGAATATGCACGAGAAAGAAAAAAATGGTAAACAATATGATTGAATCTCCACGATGGATCGTGTTTTATAGATAATTTTTATAATAAGAGGGGGATAATATTAAATAGGATAGGATTTAAAATGTTGATTNGGAGGAGGAGGAGGTGCTGCTTTCAGGCGTTTAAATGTAAAAAATGAGGAGGTAACACTCCTCAAATAACAGTAGTGTCGTACATTAAATCATAATAAATATAAGAGAGGCGCTAAATAATATATATTATCTGTTATCAAAATAACCTCACTGATAAACACTTATCACACTATCCTATAACTATAACGCGTTTTTTTAATAAGTGGGAGGAGGAGGTTCCAATTTTTATGTGATTAGAGAGGAGGAGGAATTTTGGGAGGTGGCCCCACAAACACACATCACACGTATGAAATATTTATAAAAAAATTGTATTGATTATTTCTAAAAATTGAAACTTTAAAAATACAAAATCGAGAATTTTAAAACAAAAATAACTTGTTTTTTAAGTGTGATTGACTATGTACATAAAAGACAAGATGACAAGACAAATTGTTCAACTTCAAGGTTATCTAAAGTAATAAATTTGTTTTTGAAAATCAATAGTCTAAATATGAATTTTTAAAAGTAAAAATAAAAAGTATTTATATTTAATTCAATTTGAATTATATACAGGTGATCGATTTATCGTAAACTACTCGATTACTCATAAAGTAAATAAAATATTGAAAAAAATTCAATTTTTTAGCTTCAATGCGATTAATTTTACTATGATGTGTTTTTTTAACACGCTTATATTAGTTTCACATGTATGTATGTTTGTTAGTTTGTTTGTTGTGTGTAACTTTTCACTCGCCACGTGTTATTATCTCGTGTATCCCATCGTCTATGGCCTTGAGACTAGACGAACGTAACGCATTCATCCCACCCCGCTCACCACTCACCGTAAACAATATTTTTCTGTATAATTTTATTTGTGTGTGTTACAACTTTTGCTCAGCTCTCACCGAACCAATAGCTTTCAACGATACGTCAAAAGATCACAAATCGTATCTAGTCGTAGACATTAACCACAAAAAGTGAAAATTTTCCCATAGTTCCCTATAAATGGGGAAAATCACCAAAAAAATTACAATTTTATAAATCGCTAATTTTCGAAATTTTTTTTATTTAAGACTTGAAAATAACTATTGGACCGGCATCTCGGACGTTTTTAACAATGTACAGCTGGAGCTAAAACACGAGTGTTTTCTGACATCTTTAATAACATTTTGTATGAGAAATATTTTCTATCATAATATTTTTAAATAACTGTTACATTTTTAAACTACTATAAACACTTATTTCATATTATATTTTAATTAGTGTACTGAGTAATTAAAAAAAAGAATTTCGGGTAGTAAAAATATTTAAATATGGAAAATCGATCTTATGACCACCGAATGTGGTAACTCCTGTTTAACCATAGATATTATAAGCAATGCTTAAAAGATTAATGTGCAACACCCTCAGTTAGTCGTGCGAGTGACAAAGGTTAAGTGTTAAATTTTCAAAAAAATGATATGAAATGAAAGATATATATCTAAGGTTTTAGTATAATAAAAAATTATGTTGATTTGTTTGTTTTTGAAAAAGTTATGGAAGTTTTAAGAAAAAAAAAATGACAAAATTTTTCGATTTTTAAATTTGTAATTTTTTTGGAGATTTCCCCCATTTGCGGGGAACGAGGGAAAATTTTTTAAGGGTTATGTCTTCAACTAGATTCGATTTGTGGTCTTTTGACGTATTGTCGAAAGAAATCGGTCCAGTGAGAGCTGAGAAATAGTAGTTTGAAACTTGAAACATTGTATAAAAAATCGAAATTTTTTAACTTAATTTTTGAAAATGTTCAGGAAATACTGCGTCCTTTAAACATATATCAAATCAAATGTTATGTCTTATACTATAAAATTAAAAAGAAACCCAGCACAGGGGAGTCGTGGCACAGTGGTGACGTGGCATAGTAGGATCAAGTATTATGATATCTGACAGTGATTAAAATCACTATCAAAAAAAATTATTTTTGCTTTTAATGAGGGGCAGCAAATTGATTCAATATACACAAATTTTCAAAAAGCATTTGACAAATTAAACCATAAACTCTTATCATTAAAATTAGAATATTTTGGATTAAATGGCTCATTTTTAAATTGGATTAAATCGTATTTAGTTAATCGGACACAAGTCGTAAAATTGTTCTCAGTTGTTTCAAATGATATTAAAGGACACTCTGGGGTGCCACAAGGTTTTTATTTAGGTCTTTTATTATTTATTTTATATATAAATGACTTGCCTAGGTATTTTTGATACCTCTATAAATATTTTATTGTTTGCTGATGATGCCAAAATATTTACGGTTATCAACTCAATCAGTGATTGTATTAAATTACAGTTAAACATTGAAAAACTATACAGAGTGTTCAGTAAATAAGGAAACGAATTTCTATTGTACTCATTGTTTGTAACAATTTAACTGTTTCCTAACTTACTGAACACCCTGTATAATTGGAGTGTTACAAATGAGTTACCTCTGAACTTCAACAAATGTAGAGTTTTATTATTTTCCCGTAAAAAAGATCCCATTTTCTTTAACTATAGTTTGTGTAATTCCAGTTTAACTAGGGTTTATTTCATAAGTGATTTGGGAATAATTTTTGAGGATAATTTTTTCTTTACTAGAAATATAAATTTGTCAGTCAGTAATGCTTTTAAGAGTTTGGGTTTTCTTAATAGAAATACTAAATATTTTAAAAACATAAATACTTTAAAATTGTTAAATTTTTCTATTGTCAGATCAAAGCTTGGTTCTTTAGTTTGGTTCCCTGATTATGCTGTTTACATTAATTTATTAGAAAATGTCCAATACAAGTATACGAAATCTATCTGTTTTAAATTGAATATTAGTCTTTCTAGGGATTCATATTATTTACATTCGACTCAGTTTGGTATTACATCTTGTGAACTTAGAAGAAGAGTTAATGATCTTATGTTTTTATATGACTTACTAAATGGTTATGTAGATTGCCCAGAGTTACTTTCTTTAGAACTAGTCAAATAAACCTCAGAGATTTTAAACATTGTTGATTTTTTCTATATGTCTCGTGATGTCTTCAAGTCGAATATTTATAATGCATTATCTAATTGTGTATTGTAATTTGTTTATATCTAATTGTTTATTATAAATCTGATAGTATTTAGTTAAAATTGTATTTTTTCATTTAATTTATGTTAACTAAGAAATTATTGTATTTATTCTATCGCATTATGTTAGAGGGGTTTTTTTTTACCCGTTTATAATTTAAAATAAAATAATATGTCTGCGTCTATGATATTTATTATATGATTTACACATTAATTGTTTCACTTATTAAATATTAATTTTCCTATTTAATTTTTTAATAATGGTTTATTACGCAATAGAATGTTGGAGATTCGATAGCGTAGATTAAATTGTACCTACCTTACATCCTGCATAATACAATAATATTTCAAATAATCCAATGTTGATTTTGGTATTAAACGCACTACACATACGATTTACACTATTTGTCATATAGTCCATATAATTACTTACAAAAACTATTCAAAATTTTAAATAATAAAATTTAACTATGTAAAAAATTAATCAAGGCGGAATTGTGATAGCCCAATGTGTCCCGGCGCTAAAAAGCACCTAGAAAGGATGCGGAAAAATAATCACCAAGACAAAATTTAAACACTAAAAATATATTTGTAAGTTTCTTTGCGCTGTCCGCCGGCGCGATGCTCGTTAAAGCAAATACATTAAGCTCAAAGACTAGCTACCCAATACGAAAAGCTCACAATATATTTTTATTATTAAATAAAATTTAAAGTTGGGTTGGATTTATTATTAAAATAAAATAATTTAAAAAAAAGGCTTAATGTTTAAAATATTATTTGACATTTATTTCCACAACAATAAAAATAAAACATTATTATTTAATGAACAATTAAATTAAATTAAGAGATTCACCAAAACAAAATTCATCTTAAAATTTCTAAGTGTCATTTGGTTTTAAAGAAAAAATTCTAATTCCAAATTAATTCAAAAATCGACTAAGTCCCGGAGAGTGAAATCTTGAGTGAAGTGTCGTAGATTTTGTGTCTTTAAAAATCGCCGAAAGAACTGGTTTAGACGGGGAAAAATGGCTTTTTATAGTCTGAAAGGGGTAGCCCAGCGATCTCTACAGTGATCCTGGTAACTGAATCTTTGTATTCTAATTGGTTAATTGAAAAAGGGTCCTGCGTGTAGGCGTTATTTAATAGTTTCTACAAGAGGGAGATTTTTTGCATTATTAAAGGGTTATTTTGTATTTTAAATAAGAGAACCCTGTTTTGTTATTCTTGTATAATCATAATATGTGACATACATGTACAAATGATAACATCATATTATATGTTAATATTATATGTAATAATATAATATTACAACATAGATTTTATAATTAATATTGTGTACTTCCTTGTTAACATGCAATACTACTGAAATATTTTACCTTCAACTTTCAGATTAGTTCATGATTAGTTAGTATATTTAAAAATATTTCCAAAAAGAGTTCTTAAGCATTACTATTTTTTTTTTTAATTCATAAAATCATTTATTTCAAACGTCAATTCACTTAGTAGCATCAGTAAATCGTATCAATCGTGGATAAGATGAGAGAAAATAGACTTAGACGGTATGGTCATGTTATGAGGAGAGAAGAATCGGAAGCTGTAAGAACAGTTATAGAAATGAATGTTGAAGGAAGAAGAGGTAGAGGAAGACCAAATAAGAGATGGAGGTATGCTATTGAATGCGATATGAGGACAGCTGAAGTGAAGGTATATGATGTGGGAAATCGTGTCAAGTGGAAGTTTGGGATAAGGGTGGCCGACCCCAAGTAGTTGGGAATAAGGCGAGGAAACAGAAGAAGAGTACCATCAGTAAGACCTTCTAATTCTTATTGTATAAATCTTGTTTACATACAAAATTGCTATAATTTTGCATCTTAAACATTATAACCATATTTGTAAGTCAAATAACATACAATATAAGAAATTGTATCGGAAAAAACAAAATCAATATAAGAATTACTATTATAATAACTAGGAAACTCATATTTAATAAACATAATATTTAGTTTTAGTATTTAAAAATTTACAAATGATCTAACAATTTAAATACTTTATTATTATAAATAGATTACATATATTCATATACATTTTTAAATGACATTATAGTGATAGGCACAAATAATTTATAATTTTTATGATTTTAGTTAATATCTAGTGTGAATATAAAATTTATACTTTTAAAGAAATTTGTCAGTGTTTGGTTAATATACATAATCAAAAACATGTACAAAAAATGTTTTATATAACTAATAATAATAAAATAATTATATTTTTCTAAATTATAATAATATAATATAATTATACAAATTTAAGTGTTCAATTTACGGGGTACTTTATTAATATAAATCACTCGATTTTTCTTAAAATAACAACTATTATGAAAACTTGATTTGGCATTTTTAAGTTTCATATATGTTTTATAAACATTAAAAATTGATAATTTAATATTATGTATTATTCATTTCTTTATTTGATGTCAAATTCTAAACAAATCATAAGTTTCTTTTACATGAAAGTCAAAGTGATAACTTATATATTCTGCAAAGCTATCATTATATTCTTCATTAGCTGACTTATAATCTTTGTATTTTTGTTTATATGAAGGCATTAGTTTAATACTATTTGTATAAGAACATAAATGTTTTGAATAATAAAAAATTTTGTTAAATGAGTCATTTAATGTATTTTTCAAATTTCTTGAAAAACTAGTATCTTCAGGTGGTATTGGCATATTTACTACGGAACGTAGTTTTGAAAAAAATGCGTCAGTTGAATTTACATTTTCATTACCTTCAGGAAATAAACTTTTAAAAAACAGTGCTATATTATAAAGATAATGTACTAATTCTTTATATTCATCGATTTTTCTTAGAAGCAAATCCTTCATTTGTAAGGTCATTGTTCTATCTTGTCTTGTTATTTCTTCATCATAGATCATTTTATAACCTTCATTCATGTATGACAAAATTCGATTACAGAGCTTAATCATTTCCCAACACTTACATTTTACGAGTTTAAAAATTAACTCTACCTTTTTTTGATGATTGCTTGAATTAACATGCAAATATGTTGATGAAAGTAGCTGTGTATTATTCTGATGTATATTTATATTGTTGTCGATATTATCAAAGATATTATCAACTGTTAATATTTTCAAGTTTTTTATATTTCCATATTTAACTTTTATATTCTTAAATTTATTCCATAAATTTACATTCGCTAGTATTTCATTAAGAATTTCAATTTTTTTAATTTCGTTTAAATTCGATAACACAAAATTTGACAGTAGTGATTGAATTAAAATAACGATTAATACAAAACAGTTTAGAAGATTCATATTTAATATAATATAAAGTTTACATAAATAGTTTAAATTTTTATAAATCAAAACTAATGAACACTATCACAAAAAACTTTTACTGAGATCTATGTATAGAGTAATGCCATTTTTTAATTGTCTTTAGTTATTTATTTTAAGTAGGAATATAAATGATTTATGAAGTCAACTGTACATATTTTTATTTATATTTCAATTTATTTACTTAAATATGAAAAATAATTATTTTATAATTACCAAAGGCGTAACATGCGCTTTATTCGCATAAAATAAAATAAATAAAAGATTGAAATAAAATATAAACGTATTTGTCGGTAAAACGAAATGAGGTAACAACATAAACAGGAAACGCGACAACAATAATTGTTTGGTGATCGAAAGGTGACTGACTAGACAGGGAGGACGGTTAATTTAAAAATCACATTTAATAAGGTACACGGGTAGGGACGATTACATAATCAAAACTCACGACGAATACCAACAATGTTTAACAAAATACAAAATACAATAAAATAATCACGCTACATAAAAACGGTAACACTGAAGATGACTAGCTGCTGATAGTGGCGGGGGTCGCCACATTACTCCTCTTTGGAAAAAAAAAACTGACCTGTTTTTTCCGCTGATGTTGAATTTCAAAAGACTGGACGGCGTCGCTATGGTCCAAAAGTGGATCGTCACGAAGTACAAAAGCGGGTTTCAGCCGATCAATCGATACCCAGACTGCCCTGCGATCACACTGAATTTTGTACGTTTTCTCGCGACACTCGAGTACGGCGTAGGGGCCTTCGTACTTGGCACTAAGCGGCTGTCGTACGGCATTAATACGCAGAAATACGTGGCTCACTTTGTCTAACGATTGTGGCACAAAAATCGAACGTCGCGACGCGTGATTTGATCCAGGCTTCGGTTGTAATTCAGCCATAAACTGTTTCAAATCTCGGACCAGTTCCGGCGTATGAGCGGTTAGCGGGACTGAGTGAAACAATTCTCCGGGCAGACGGGAGATTGTCGTTTCCGCCAAAATTGACTGTATTGTTTCCGCCAAATCTGTATAAGGTCGGTTTTTCGTTTCCGCAAACCGATAGTTTATACCTGTCTACAAATAGAGGCTTGAGAACAACTGGGTAAAATATTTGCCAAAATAACCCGATAATAATTATGTACTTTTCATTTAATCGAACTTTTTCCTATTCTATTATTGTTAGATAGCAGTGTATTGATCGGTATACCGATAAATATTTTGCCATCCGTTCTTTTTTATTTTACTTTTTTAATTAAAATGTCATTTGAATATATCAGAAGTAAGCGGGGCCAACAAATAATTTTATTGAATAATTATAAGTTTCGTTTTGCATTTAAAGCAATACAAACGGTAACATACGTTGGCGTTGTTTTGTAAAAGAATGCAAAGGTACCATTCACGTGAATGAGCTTGATGAAATTATTGATCAAACAGGTATTTTTTAAATTTTTAGTTAAATTGATTAAAGCTGACCTTATTTTAAATTAGTTTTATTATGTCTTATAGAACATGCATGTAATGGCCCTTGTTCTGATCCCATAATTATGAGACAATAATTAGCAGGCGCTTGTAAACGCAAAGCCGTAGGCGATATTTGCCAAAGACCGCAAAAAATAATTTTAATTAATATACTTTTAAAAATTTTAATAGAAAACGTTCAACCTTAAAATTACATTAAAATATATAGTTCTAATAACGCAATCTCAATAAGCGTAAGGAATAAAATTGAAATCCGTTTCAATAAAACAAAAGAGGCAATTGATAAGTTTAATAAAAATTAAATTATCAGACTTAAATTTGTGAAATAAGTTTCCAACAACTACCGAAAAATGTATAGATCATAGATCTATTTTTTATTATATTATTACACATATTAGATATTTTTAAAGCTTATAATTAATATTTGAATTTTATTTCAATGTTTTGATGACTATATTTTCTTATAAACTATATTTTTATTATTTTTTACAAAAATATATATACATAATTAAAACAGTTATCTATTATAATTTATTTACCTTTGGTAAAATGCCATATTTTGTTTATAAAAGTGTACTTATGTGATGAAATAAGTAATTATCCAAAACGATGTGACTGTATTTAGGGAATGGTTAAGAAGGGCAAATGTCAATTGATAGCGATGGGAAAAAAATATTGTAAAAATTTACTTCATTTTGTTCATTAATATTAATACCCCACGCAAAAATCATAAAACAGACTTGAACGTAACATTTAATTATATAACTAATAAATGCCGAAAATTTTGGTACAGGAAGCTGCCTACCATGGATAAAGCTAAATGGTTCTCAAATTTTTTAGTAGAGACAGGTAGAAGATCAGTTTGGCGGAAACGAAAAAACGACCTTATTTAGATTTGGCGGAAACGATACGGTCAATTTTGGCGGAAACGATGAACGCCCGGGCAGACGAAGTGACGTTCCGTAGACTACTCGGTAGGAGCCGAACAAACGTCCTCCTTCACCGTGTTCCTTAACGCCAACAACACAACGGGTAGTTTGACAATCCAGTGTGGCGTTTCGTGCGCCGTGAGCGCGGCTTTCAAAGTGCGATGGAAACGTTCAACAATCCCGTTTGCTTGCGGATGATACGGAGAATTAGGAATATGTTGTATACCGAATGTGTTGTATAATGACCAGAATAAATCTGCTTCGAATTGTCGCCCTTGATCAACCGTTACAAAATCCGGCACGCCGAAGCGAGAAATCCAGTTTGTAACAAAGACTGCAGCGACAGCGTGTGCGGAATTGTTGTTGACTGGCCGCGCTTCTGGCCAACGCGTGAAACGATCGATGCAAGTGGCTAAATATTTTTTGTCCCCAGACTGGGGGAGCGGACCGACTATGTCCAAATGAATGTGACCAAAACGTCGATCTGGTAACGCGTAAGGCGCTATCGGCGAAATGGTGTGTTTGCCAATTTTAGTGCGTTGGTACTGCAGACACAACTTCACCCATTTCGCTATTTCAGCGTTCATACCCGGCCAACAATAGCGGGCGCTGATTAAGCGTTGCGTCTCTTTGCGACCGCCATGCGCCAAACAATGAAGCGCCTCAAAAACAGATTTACGATGCTTGGCGGGCACGTACGTACGAGGCGTATCTGTTGAAACGTCCACCCATATTTTTCCGTCCGTAGTGTCTCGAGTTTGAATTTGCATCGAGGACTTGACGCACCGGACAAGGTACGTTTTAGCTGCTCGTCGCTGGTTTGATCTGCCGCCCATTGTTGTACGTCAGGTAGGCCGTTTTGAATCGCCGACATTTCCAAACGTGACAATGCGTCTGGGACGATGTTGCCTGAACCGCTGACATGATCGACGGCGCTAATGAATTGAGACAAAAATGATATTTGTCGTACCTGGCGATCTATATACTTCTCGGTTTTATGGGTAAACATTTGCAGTAGTGGTCTGTGATCCGTGCGCAAAGTTGTAAATCGGACTTCTATTATGTGGATGTAATGCCGACAACCGAGGAAGGCAGCGAGCAATTCGCAATCATATGTGCTGTAACGCTTTTCTGTTTCAGACAACTTTTTTGAGAAAAAACCAAGGGGCTTCCACACACCTTCGTGCTCTTGCTCTAAAACCGCGCCAATAGCTGTACTAGAAGCGTCAGTACTGAGGCGGAGAGATGAGTTTGGTTCTGGAAAAGCGAGGTGCGTAGTGTTGACCAATACTTTGCGACAATCATCGAAACTGGCACGAGTAGCGGTAGTCCATTGCAACGGTCCGTCATGTTTTTTGATTGCCTTGACCAAATCGTAAAGCGGCACTTGCAAGGACGCGGCGTTCGGTATAAATCTACGATAAAAATTAATCGAACCCAAAAATCGCTGTAGTCCCTTCTTAGTTGCCGGAAGAGGCCATTCGTTAATAATGGTAACGCGGTCCGGGTTGGGGCGACATCCCTCTTTGTCGATAATATGACCCAAAAACTGAAGCGATGGAACCGCAAAACTGCATTTCGCTGGATTGATTGTTAACCCATACATTTGTAGTCGTTTCAACACCGTGAGTACGTGAACTTTATGCTCCTTTTCATTACATGAAGCGATGAGAAGATCGTCAATATACGCAAAAGCGAAATCGAGTCCCCGTAACATATTATTTACTACACGCTGGAAGGTTTGCGCGGCGTTTTTGAGGCCAAAAGTCATTACAGGAATCTCGAAAATTCCAAAAGGTGTTGTGACAGCTGTCTTCTGAATGTAATTTTCAGCGACGGGTACTTGGTGATATGCCCTAACGAGATCGATTTTTGAAAAAATTTTTCTTCCAGACAAGTGAGCAGTAAAATCGTGCAGGTGAGGAAAAGGGTAACGATCGGCCTGCGTGACTGCGTTCAGTCGCCTGTAGTCGCCGCAAGGACGAAACGTCCAGTCCTTTTTAGGAACTAACAACAGTGGGCTGGCCCATGCGCTGGAAGACGGTCGACAAATCCCATTTTTAAGCATATAATCGAACTCACGACGAACAATGTGCGCTCGATCCGGTGGAAACCGACGTGGACGAGAAAAGAGCGGTGATCCGGTAGTATTCAACTCGTGGACGACGTCGTGCAT